ATGAAAATGAAAATGAAAATGAAAATGAAAATGAAAATGAAAATGAAAATGAATGAAACCCTAGTATCCTGTAATTCACCCTGTGATTGTTGAACCATCTCTATGAGTCGAGCTTGTCCTTCAGTTTTTTTGTGTCTTGAGCGAAACCACTGCGAGCGTTGCCCAAAACACTGGCCGCCCACTAGCAACTCCAAGCCGCTAGCACCACCGTAGGGAAGCCATCCGCCTCAGAAAACGCTTTGTGACTGGTCGGTCGCCAAACACCCTGGAAGTTTTTCCGAAAGACAAAATCTTCGAAGTCAAAAGCCAAGAAGTACACATGGTATGAGCTGTTGGAACTGAAGAACTGGAGGTCCCTGAATCATCTTTGATCTTCTTAGCAATTCATACACTTCATAGAAATTCCAGTCCATCTCGGGGTCGCCTGGTCGGACCTGCAAGTCGCCTGCTTCGTCGAACTGGACGGTATTGATTGCAAGGTGGCTGCACGGGAAGACAGGATGACAGATCTGTATGGATTTGATGAAACTTGAACAGGTGTGACAGGCGTGACGGGATCTTTCCTGTTCTCCCTGTTCTCCGACAGACCAACATTGAGATAGTTATGGAAAAAAGGAAGGCCTCCTCTGACGGACGGGAAAAAAAATAACGTGAATTCCGTGGACGCCTCCCCCCCCGCCTCCAATCCGAAGATGGCGTTGTAGCGCCGAGGGCACCTGTCGGCCAAGTCCACCAGCCGGACTTAAGCCACGTGAACCAGGTCTCTTTTGGTGGCTTCTAACCCCACGATGGTGTGGAGGACCGGTCCTGGCTTGGGATTTCTGTAGTTCCAGTCGATCCGGCAGCGGGTGACCGCCCGTCACACCAGAACTGGCGAAATCCTGGCACGTCCCTCAAGGCCCAATCACCACACAACAACCGAAAATGAAGGGATCCTACTTAACTTTATACTGTATCCCTATAGGCAACTTGTGCCCACATGCAGAGTGACAGGTTTTTCAACACGAATCAATCAAGCAGGCCACGAAAAATCCATGGCCCTACTACATGTCTTAGGTCTTTTGTCTGCATCTTGAGCTGCAAAGAATTGTCCATTTCACTCCTCCACTGGATGTCACCGTCCCTCCCTCACGTCCCTCCGGGCACAGGATGGGCGAGTCCAGGAAGACCCGGCGGCAGGCGTCGGGCGAGGGCTCCAGGAGGCTGCGCTCCGGGCCGATGGGACACATGAGGGACCTGAGCAGAGAGGAGAGGAGTCCGATCAAATCCGATCAGTCCGAACCGTCCGCTCCAAAGTTATGGGTCTGCGCTTGGGCAGGTTAACCCGGTGGGACGGATTCAGAAGCAAATGTTGGCTGGTCTCGGCATCTGAGTCCATGTCCGTTCTTCTTGGAAGAAATACATCAAGTAACAAGTTGTTGGCTGTGAGCGTGGAGGAACCAAAAAACAGCTTCAGCGTAGGATTTATATGGATTTATGATGATTCATGATGCTCTAAAAATATTGGGAGGACTCCCTCTCGCACTTCGGCAATGGGCAGACTTGGAACTCACTCTGTCAATGTGGAGGTGAGTGGATCCTCTCCATGCACTGCGCAGGAACCTCCAAAAACACCGACTTGGCACCCAGCAGAACCGGCTTGGCCTCACCGACCACCAGCAGAACCCTAAACCACCACCCCAGTCCGGGCCAAACATCGGCCGGGCGGCATGACGTTGGCCTCACGGATGGGGTCAATCGGCGGGTTGGTCGCCTGTGCGAAGAGCTGGGAGAAGTAGTCGAAGGGCTGACGCGGCATCTTCGACAAGCACGCCAAGGGCATGTCCTGCGGCGGTGGAGCACTGTGGACCTTTGGGTGGCAGGTTCGTGGCTTGGCCCTGACGTATTGCTTTGGATGGAGAGGAAGGGCGGGGGAACCAGGTCCGTCTTGGGATTTCTGGACGTGTTGCTTGAAAGAAGGGGAAGAAGAGCGATAAAAACATAAGGAAAGTGCTCCTTGATCTCTCTGAGCTGCCCATATATGATCCAAATCCTCTACAAACTAGTGGAGTACTTCATCTGCCCAACCAAAGCGCTAAGGAGGACTGTTTTCGAAAGCTTCCACTCAGCCGCTCCCAAGCCCTTCTCGCCCTTCTCCCTTCAGCTTCCTGTCCCATGGAGCCCAAAGGCTCTGCACCGGTCTTCACCATCGGTGCGATCAACATGTCCATCTTCTCCTCGGAGACGACGAAGCGTGGGAACCAAGCGAAGAAGTGGGCACCGGTATACCGATTAATGTCCGCACCGTCGATGAAGGTCCTTCTTGAGTCGGTGCCAGGAAGCATATACCCATTGCTGGAAACTACACGACCGGGAGGAATCCCCTCTATTAACCAACCAAGCAACCAAGCAACCAACCAAGCAAGCAACCAAGCAATCAAGCAACCAACCAACCAACCAAGCAATCAAGCAATCAACCAATCAACCAACCAAGCAACCAAGCAACCAAGCAACCAAGCAACCAACCAAGCAACCAAGCAACCAAGCAACCAAGCAACCAAGCAACCAACCAACCAACCAACCAAGCAATCAAGCAACCAAGCAAGCAACCAACCAAGCAATCAAGCAACCAACCAACCAACCAAGTAATCAAGCAATCAAGCAACCAACCAACCAACCAACCAAGCAACCAAGCAATCAACCAACCAACCAACCAAGCAATCAAGCAATCAAGCAATCAAGCAACCAACCAACCAACCAACCAAGCAATCAAG